TAAATCTAATCATACAAATTACATATTTTTGTAGGGTTCATGGTAACAAGCAAGAGTTGTTGTACGGTAGAACCAGGACAAGAACTATGTGCGGCGAATAAACCGGTTTGTACGTTTCGAAGACGGTACGTGTACTGGGACAATGTCCACAGCACTGAGGCGACCAATATGGTTGTGGCCAAGGCTGCGTTTGCCGGAGTCATTGCTTTTCCATATAGCATTGGAAAGTTATCGAGACAATACTAAACAAATATTCACATTTCCTTTTTCAAAAACTTTATATATGATGATTGTTGTTCTTTGATCCAGCCTGTGGTAAACATTAGTTCCCAACTCCCAAGCATGCATTAAATTAAACCAAACCGGAACAAAATTGTTTATATAGATGAAATGTAAAGATCTAATTCGAGCACTGCAAGCCAAACTGTCTTTACCATTTAGACCGCGGCTTAAGTGATCAATAGCAAAAGAGCGGAACCGACTACCGAGGTTTCAAGCTTGCAAAAATGTCCAATAAATTAAAGAAAACAGGTCCAGCTCCCTCGTCATGTACCATCTTTATTAATTCTGAGGAATCCGTCTGGTAAGTAATATCCACCGGCTGATGACTCGCCCAAATCAAAGTTTCCAGCTCCGCGTATAAAGGCGTTAGACAACGCCGGATTTCTTTCGCAGCCATTAGTTCATGGAAATATTTATATCAATATTTTGCTAAAGTTTTAAAAAGGCTTAATTAACTTTGACGATGCAAAACAAAATTATACCATGAGTCAACGGAAAATGACAAAATTTTGAAAATTCAAAAGTACTAGTTCTACCAAAATAAATGTGGAAGCGAACAAAAATTCAAACAATAAAATGATTAAAAAAAAAAAGTATTGAGACAACAAACCAAGGTATCAATTGTTCTTTTTTCTTATATACAAACTCTCCATTAATCTTAGACATGTGATTTGCGATATGGAATACCACTCTTCTATTGCGCTTATCTTTGCTTCGTTTCCCTCAAAGTGGTTCATTTGGGGTGGTTTGGCATCATCACCTTAGACTTAGAGTTCGAGTTGTAGGGCTATCTTTGAAGCATTGGAGGACTCTTCTTAATCTAAGACCACTTACCGAAAGGTATTGGTTATGCAGCATCCATATGAAAAATGGGCTTCATGATGCATATGTTTTCTTTTCACACAAATCTCCACTAATGCAGTTTGGAAAGAAAGAGTTCACTCAGCAACTAAATTAGGCATCTCCAATTCCATTCCATTCTGTATTCCAAAATGGAGTTTGAAGTCAAATTTGCTCCAACCCACTCCATTCCATCTCCAAAATGGACTAAAAAGTAAATTTACTCCAAACATGGAATAATCCTATGTATTACTCCATTTTTTATTTTAAAATAGAGTTGGGTTCAAGTAAAACATAACTTCATTTTAGAGTTACTACATTTTGAAGTAAAAAAAAGAGTTTTGGGTTGGAGATGCTCTTACTAGTACCCAGGGCCGGCCCTGAGGAGAGCATGATGAAACAATGGCTTGTGACCCCCACTTTTCATGGGCCCTATTTAATTTTTTTTTCTTTCTGAAATGTATTTTTTTTTAAATTTAGAAGTAATTTTAGTTTATTGAAAAAATTAATAATAAAAAAATATAAATCCTACAAAATGAAAGAATTTAAGTATTTTTAAAAAACTATCTAAAATTAATATAAATACTATAAAAAAATCAATTAAATGGTATATACTATAGGTCCTCATTATGTATACTATAGGCCTCATTTTTTATTTTGTTTAGAGCTTCCGTAATCTCAGGGCCGGCCTTGGTGGTACCCCTAAGCTTTCAAGTAAATTGTTTTAACTATGATTTCATAACCTTCCCTCGCTCCTAGCCAAATTTACTA